ATGGACGCTGCCAACCTTCTCAAGCCCATGCTGGCTCGTGGCCAATTGCATTGTATTGGTGCCACGACTCTCTCTGAATACCGCAAGTATATCGAGAAGGATCAGGCTTTCGAGCGACGATTCCAGCAGGTCCTTGTTAAGGAGCCTACAGTCCCAGAGACCATCTCTATTCTTCGTGGTCTGAAGGAAAAATACGAGGCCCACCACGGTGTCAACATTCTCGATGGAGCTATCGTCGCTGCCGCCACTCTCGCATCTCGCTACCTGACAGCTCGTCGACTCCCCGATTCTGCGGTCGATTTGATTGATGAGGCTGCAGCTGCAGTCCGAGTCACTCGCGAGTCCGAGCCAGAAGCCCTCGACACACTGGAAAGAAAGGCCCGCCAGCTTCAAATTGAAATTCACGCCCTTGGTCGTGAGCAAGACGAAGCATCCAAGGCTCGTCTCGAGGCCGCCAAGCAGGAAGCTGCCAATGTTGGCGAGGAGCTTCGGCCGATGCGCGAGAAGTACGAAAATGAGAAGAAGCGCAGCCGCGAAGTGCAGGAGGCCAAGATCAAGCTTGATTCTCTCAAGGTCAAGCGTGACGAAGCCGAGCGCTTGGGCGATACCCAGACCGCTGCTGATCTCGAATACTACGCCATTCCGGAAACCAAAGCTCTCATCGAGCGTCTGGAGACTGAGCGGGCCAAGGCTGATGCTGAACGTCGCGCTCAAGCGGGCGACTCTGGTGAAGCACTCCTTGCCGATGCAGTTGGTCCCGATCAAATCAATGAAATCGTTGGCCGCTGGACCGGTATCCCTGTCAACAGACTCAAGACCACTGAAAAGGACAAGCTGCTCAACATGGAGAAATACCTTTCCAAGGTTGTTGTTGGTCAGAAGGAAGCTGTTGTTTCGGTCTCCAACGCCATTCGCTTGCAGCGCTCGGGTCTCAGTAACCCTAACTCGCCTCCCAGCTTCTTGTTCTGTGGTCCCTCCGGTACCGGTAAGACACTGCTCACAAAAGCGCTTGCCGAATTCTTGTTCGATGATCCAAAGGCAATGATCCGGTTCGATATGTCCGAGTACCAAGAGCGACACTCGCTCAGCCGTATGATCGGTGCACCCCCCGGATACGTTGGCCACGACGCCGGTGGCCAACTTACCGAAAGCCTGCGTCGCCGCCCATTCTCGATCTTGCTCTTCGATGAGGTCGAGAAGGCCGCAAAGGAAGTCCTCACTGTCCTCCTACAGCTTATGGATGATGGCCGTATCACCGACGGCCAGGGCCGTGTCGTCGACGCAAAGAACTGCATCGTCGTCATGACCTCCAACTTGGGTGCTCAATATCTCTCCCGCCCGACTACCAAGGACGGTCGCATCGAGCCCCAGACCCGCGAGTTGGTGATGAACGCTCTGCGCGACTACTTCCTGCCGGAGTTCCTCAACCGTATCTCCAGCACCGTCATCTTCAACCGTCTCACAAGGCGGGAGATTCGCAAGATTGTGGACCTCCGCCTTTCCGAGGTGCAGAAGCGGCTCGATAACAACGAGCGCAATGTTACTATCGAATGTAGCGACGAAGTCAAGGACTACCTCGGCGCAGCAGGCTACTCCCCAGCCTACGGTGCTCGTCCCTTGGGCCGACTCATCGAGCGCGAAATCCTCAACCGTCTTGCTGTGCTCATTCTGCGCGGAAGCATCAAGGATGGCGAGGTCGCCCATGTTGTCATGCGCGACAGTCGCATCGATGTCTTGCCTAATCACGATCTTGGCGAGGCTAGTGAGATGAGCGATGATGAAATGATGGACGAGGATGATCTTGACGCTGAGATGGCTGATAACCCCGTCTCGCCTGATCTGTACGATTAAACAGATCGGTTTTCTTAAATTTGTTATGCTAAAACGCGAAACGCACTGGTACATGACTTTCTCATGATTTTGTTTTTCAGCTTTGTTTACGTTCGCACGGCGTTGCAGTGTCTCTTCGCATTTTCTTTTCATGTACTTATGTAGCCTTCGCAGGGTGGATACGTCCCGAGTCGAAGGCTTATTAGCCTCGACAATCATGTTAATAGATTTCTCTTTCAAAATTCAACCAAAATTATGTGTACTTCAAAACCTATTGTAGATCAAAGTAATTACACACTCGGGCCACATGGTAGTTGAATGAGTTCTGAATGAGACAGCTAAACTATGTTGTAGTCATAACTACATCACACTAATTAGGTGTATCGACTTCATAGATCTTGCAGGAAGAACACATGATGGTGAGGTTGGTATGCTTCCGTTGCACTGATAGAATGTGAACATCCGACATAGGTATAGAAGGTCGCGAGTATCTCAAAATTCCAGAGACGACTTGGGATATATGTAACCCTGTGGAAGGGTGGAAATAGATTGTAGACGACGTGCTTATCTCAAAATCGGGTTTTACTTACCCTCGGTGCTCTGTCCAAGTGCTGAGATGTAGCCGGCCTTGGTCTTGACCAGAGCGGGTGTCCTATAATATCGGGTCTACTTCATTTTTTGATATCTAAATGACAACAAACTCTCTTACACTTGAAAGTAAGTTCAATAAACGGAGACAACAAGAGTCTATCATTTTTGTGTCTTCTAGCCTCAATCATACGCAAGATTAAGTCAATACCATTCAGTCTGTGTATACGTTTTAAAGATTTGTGAATATATATTGAAGGTTGTGAGTAGCTATGCCAGAAATCATTCCGTAGTATATATTTCGCCCCGGGACCCTTCATGGATAACGCAACCTTATCCAAGACATTTATTTAGACTTCAAGGTGGACTTTGCTTATATGGATGCTCCCAAGGTTGAGTTTCTAAGATATATTTCTGTTATATTGTAAACTCGCACTATTGAGGGGTTTCGAATAGAACTTTGGTCGAGAAAGATTGGACCAAATGTCGCACGTGATAACCACATTCAACCTTTTAATACGAGACATTCGCGGCGAACGAAGAACCGTTCCTACCTAGAGACTACTCATGCATGTCTGAGACGCAGCTAGAGCGAAGGCAAACCGCCCTGAAATTCGCCACCATGGATGTTGTAATGTTACATGATTCTTTGCCAACCCTGCATATGCACGGCGTTCTCCGTACCTGAAGGCTGAATCAACGGGCAAAGCTCCTATTTAGGTGAGCATCCCCGCAGCTATCCAAACTGTAAGCGAGAGGTTAAGCCTGGGCAACTTTGTATGCAAATAGAGAGTGGGCCCATAAACTCAGAGCAGAGCGCGCCAGCACATACAACATACGGAGTAGCCGCGATCGAAGGGCGAGGTCTTGGTCTTGGTGGGGTCAAGCGGGTTACGCCGAAGCAGAGAAGAGAAGAAAGGCGAAAAGAAAAACAGCGAAAAGGAAATGAATAGCGCACTTGCTGAAAAAGGAAAGGAAAAGGCAAATTACCTCCTTATTAGGAAAAGATAAACTGTTATATACATAGTACTCGGCTGAACGGGGCCCACTATGGTACGGAGTAGATACAACATAGTGTACGGAGTACAATCAAATGATAGGAGGAGAGTACGACATACGAGTATAATCATGCAAGTACCGAGGCCGTTGGACTAACTTTGCGAGTGAACCCCTCCAGCACATGGCAGAAGTCTAATATAGCAGATTATCCGTGCAGCTTACTAGAATAGGGGTAGCTATCGGCTTATCACTCAAAAATGAGGCCGAAGACACGTGGTTTAGGGTTTAAACGTCTAGCAGAAGGGCTTATATCTCTGCCGGACTCCGTTAATTACGAGATATAAGATACATCATAACTATATTGTAAGGAAGTTGACGGCTCAAGGTTTCCTGCAAGGTTGGGTCGCCGAAACTCAGTTGAAACTCAGATTTATTAGACTGACGCGGCTTACGGTCGACTGAAATAGTTCACATTTACTCCGTAGACAGTCTTCTAATAATACGCCATACACAGTATCCATTGCAATTCCAAACACAAAGGGTACCTCGGGAGCACAAGCAGATACTATGACCGACGACAATTGCTAATTGCTCCATTTTTCCCTTATCACGTCACATCCCGAGGTCTCTCCAGTCTCCACGCAGATCCCGTTGTTCGGGAGAGCTTGAGCTTCGTCCACGGTAGTGCGCACTGCGCAGTGGACTGGTGGCTTTGGCCAGGGTCCTGGATTTGGTATGGTGGGGTATCCATGAACACATCCACTTGGATATTGCTCGGTCAAGCATTTGCCCTCATATCTTTGGCTTTCGGGTCCCAGTCTTTTTCTTTCGTATCAGATTTTTTCCAAGATTCATGTGCCGATCGACTGTGGGGTGGGAACCTTGAGGAACGATTTTTCGGTTGAGATTTCGGCTGATATTTCGGTTGATCCTAAGGTTTCGCTTTTTTTCTCGGGTCACGACGTGATTTCGGACGGTGGTCTTCCGGGTAGTATGTATATAGCCTGTGACTGATTCAAGGATGATGTAGTTAGTTACTAGTTAGTTACTCCGTGCGGCTTGGCCTAAGCGCTGATAGTCAACCATCTTGGCTTTGCATGGCTGCGACGCCACACTGGTTGTCGGAACCGGGGATACGTGCTTTTCTAGAAAGACGCCCGAGCCATATCCGCCAGTTCACCAAATCCCTGCAGAGTTCTTCGGACGTAGGCTAAGCTCTTCGCCGACAAGATCGGCGTCTGGATGCAAGGGGCCGGGAGATCGGCGGGCTGTGATGGAATGTATTCCAAGGTTGCATCTTTGAAAAGTGGTTAGCTCGGGGTTTTGGACATCGGTGGGACTGGAAGGTGAGATGTGTGGAAATGACAGTGGAGATTATAGTTAATGGGATACGCAATTCAACCGAGACTCCAAGGAAAACTCTATATCCAGAGAAAAAAGATATGCACAATTAGTGTCTAGAAGTAAATATGTACAGACAAAATAGAGACAATATATAGGACTGGGTATTAAGCCCTCGGGGACTTCGTGGATTCGTAAGAAAAACAGAACGACAACGTTCTCAGTGTAGAGTCGATTAAAGATTAAACATCCTCGCGGGCGCGGGTGATACGCGAAGTATTCACCTCATAATCCGACGGCCGCGAGTCCCGCTCCACCGTAACCGTGATATCCTGACGAATGCGCAAAGCGCGAGCCGAGCCATCGTCGCTGCTCGCCCGCCCCTCGCTGATACTGGCATCGGAAGCAGTCGCCTTTTGCGGGGTAATCGTAGTGGTGCCCTCGAATTCTTGCATGCCGAAGTCGCCTGAGCGCGTATGGCTGGGCGGGCCATAGGGAGGCAGGTGGGAGCCACCCTTGCTGGTCCAGGGCCCGGACTTGTAGCGGTCGGTGCCGCGCCTGGAGCCCCCGGTCCAGCTCTTGAGGGCGGGGAAGACGTCGCGGAGCAGTGACCAGACGAGCGGCAGGTTGGTGACTAGAATGGCGACGGTGGCTTCGCGGAAATACCAGTTCATGTAGACGTAGGAGATCAGTGATGGGACGAGGCAGTACACCTTGTTCAGGACGGCAGCGACAATGACGAAGATGCCCATGCCGAAGAGGATAGTCAGGATCAGCTTTTGCTTGAGCGGGACGCGGACCTGGACTAGCATGGGAATGGCGATGAGGAGCATGAATACGTCGGCAGAGATTGAGATGCAGCCCTGCACGATTTCGTAGTACTGGTAAGATGAGCATTGGTAGTCTGGCTCTGGGACGACGGCCCAGTAGTCTTTTAATGGGTGGCAGAGTAGGAAGAGTGACAGTTCGGTTGCGACGAAGCCTAATCCGACGTAGATCGAGACATAGTTGATCCAACGCTTCTGCTTTAATCCTTCACTGTATTGGCGTTAGAAAAGAGCATGCTCCCAATCGAGATTCAACATACGTGATACGCGCATAGATCACCAGCATGCATGCTTTCAAACTCCAGATGCAAAGAATAAAGGAATGTTCCGACACAAAGACCCATTTGCTACCGCGCACTCGTTCCGCGATGATTTTATCCGTTAACGATTTTCTGTCCTCCTCGGTCATGAGATTTGACCCCCCACCGGAGGCGACTTGATTTAAAGCGACACATAGTATTGTATACCAGACTACCGAGAAGAGCATAAGATAGTCGTCGGTCTGGAGATTGCGCATGCCTAAACGTCGAAAACGAGCAATCCTGTCGAAGATCTTTGTCAGTGTTGTATAGTATGATGTTCAATTACCATCTTACCATCGCAAGACGGCACCCAGTACGCCGACAGCATACAGAGCCCACGTCTCATGGGCGAATTCCAAGGCGAAGTGGCCTCCTAAGCCAGACATTACCGCTGGCCTTTTCGAATAGAGGTTAACGGGATCTTAGAGTGAAACGAGATTCGAGAGGCGCGCTCACATTTTATGAGAGTAGCGGGGATATGCAATATTAAGTATAGAGTTCCAGCTCCTGCATAAGCCGCCGATTGTACGACAAGATAGGAAACGCGTTAGAACCTTCGAAGTATGCTGAATGATAGCCTTGAAGGTACAAGGTTTGGCAAGATGCAGAGGATAAAACGCCAATCAACTCAAGATACAGGACATATCGCCATTGGATAGTGGGGGCTTGGATGGCAAGTTGGTTCCTTGGATCGGAAGAGTCTGGGAAATTGCTTTCATTGCTGCATTCTGATTTGTAACAATTTTGCCATTGGTCCACTTTACCGTTGCATAGGGAATTTCCATGTAAGGTGTAAGTTCAGCTGTTTTACATTTTATAGGCCTTTATAACCGAGGATATTCAGGCTGAATTTTCCTGAGAGATCCACCTTCTGCACTGGGAGACATAAGCACATCTATAATTGCTATATCCAATCATCGCCATTAAGCGAAGATAGACATAGCTCTTTCTATCTGGGGGAATGGCCCACAGTGGAGGGTGGAGGAGCTGAGTGATCAGCCAATATCCCATGTCAATTAGTATTCATGTACATAACTCATATATTGTATAGGTCCTGAAGAACTGTCACAATAGAGAGTTTGTTCGGATATACCGGCTGCGTGTCACTATCGGCAGATTTGACTATATTTAAACAGATTTCACTGGAATTCATTAAAAATGGCCAATACCTGCCAGATCGGGAAATCAGATATTCTGAGTTTGCCGCCACAACTGTAAAAAGTGGGGAAATCACCGACCATCCATGGTTTAGTCACTATTGGCCCGAGCCTTTTTTCCGAGGGCTTTTGGGAACTGCCCAGCCCCGGGGGAAACGGACTGATTCGGATGTTTTTAATCTTTTATGGAGACGGGCTGATACAACATATGTTGTATATGCAACTTGGAGAGGATTGAATGAACTGATGTGAAGTCTGAAGATTCGAAACTTCGGAAACTTCGGAACAAGAGACTTTATTAATCTCACTGCAGGACTACAATATATTATGCTCTAAATTAATTCATTAATATGTAGCTACGCCGTAGTTAGTTAGTGACTTTACTTGAGTAAACTTAATTAGTCATAAGACTTCGTTATAACTAGTTAGTTAACTAGCAGCTACTTAATTAATATATATCAGACTACTTTGTACTAGCCCACTAGATCTGAGGCTAAAATCGGAGTCGCCTTATCTGCGCTACCCACATTCAGCTGCACTAGTCCCAGGAAAAGAGATTCGGAGTCTAGATTGCCTCCGATGGTTTCCAATTGATGAACTCGAGTGAATTTCTACCTTATATGAGACACCCCCGTCGCATGGACAGCAGAGACTGTTTGTGCCCACATAGTTATACCCGTAGTGTTACCTATTGCTTGACGCTTTGATCCTTTTATGTGTCTGGGCTAGTAAAGCATTTATACTTTAGTTTACAAGTAGTGTAGTTGTCGTTTACACTTGTCTCGCTTGCAAAATCATATGTTTCAATCTCAAATAGGGGAAATCTCCGAAAAGTCTCTAATAGTGTATACTAAGTATGTATACGGTATGTGGGTACGCTGCATGGAATATCTGCATGGAATATGGAATGTTCCAACCATCGCTTATGTCTTATGCTATGTATGCACAACTAGTCTTGTTATCTCTAAGAATCCTAGATAGACATCTATTTAGAGTAGCGATGATAAGAAGTAAGCAGAGTCTGGGGTTTGACCCCGCCAAAGAGCCCCAATCACCCCAAAAAAGCAAGAAGTAGAGATGAAACCCACGAAAAAGGACACTAAGGGGGATGGGAATTCCCCTTCTGCTGAAGCTCCCCTTCTAGGTTAAGCGTAATTCAGCCATGCAGCGGCGTCGATTGTTAAAAGTTTCCGCTTCGAGTGCATTTGTACACCCTTGTCTCCGGCTCGGCCAATAGGAACTCTGGGGCGACCCCACTGTGGACCTGTTGGCCACCGAATGATGTGACTCCGCGAATGCTGATTGGCCAGAGATTGAGGAATTAGAATGCGTGGATGTCGACCGACCCGACCTGATCGGCTTAGCCGTGACATGATAATATACCGTTGTACGCCTTTGACTCCCTTTTACTTAACATCCGTGTTCGCCTCGATTCTTCCCATATCATTCTTCAATTCGGGAGCTGTACACTTCAGACCTCGCTATCGTCTGGTTTAAGGGAAATCCCCTACCATATACATATCCAACATGTCTGGGAATGAGATCAATTATTCGACGGAGAAGGAGATCGGCCACGTCCCTGAGAAGGAAATCGCACCTACACCGGATTACACCCACGATGGCCCAGTGGACGGAGAGTTGGTCAACGCTTCGGGCCATCGCCAAGAACTAGAGCGGAACTTTGGCCTTCTCAGTATCTGTGCGGTAGCCGTGACCACCGGAAACACATGGATTGCCCAAGGTGGTAGTGTGGTTGTGGCATTAAGTAACGGTGGATTGGCAGGAACTATCTATGAATTGTATACCACCCTCCCTACCAGTTTAACCAACCAAAGCTAACCCCTTGTTTAGCATAGCCGTGTCTATCTGCTACTGGCTGGTCGCCGCATCTATTGCCGAATTGGCATCGGGTATGCCCTCAGCCAGTGGTGTCTATCATTGGGCAACTATCACTGCCGGGAGTAAGTACGGTCGCGTGTGCGGATTCTACGCTGGATGGTGGAATTGCCTGGCTTGGATTCTCGGTGCCGCATCCATGTCTTTGATTCTGGCTCAGCAGACCGTGTCTATGTATCAATTGATGCATCCCGACTTCGTGCCCTCACAATGGAACGTCTTTATCAGCTTTCTCCTCAACACCTGGGTCTGTTGCGCTATTGTGTTGTTCATGAACCGCTTCCTACCTCACATTGGAAACCTGGGCTTGTTCTTCATTCTCGCTGGTGTGTTCGTGACCATCATCGTGTGCGCTGTGATGCCTCATGTGAACGGCTCTGGATATGCCACCGATAAGCTCGTGTGGGCAACTTGGGAAAACGGAACCGGTTATGCCCAGCAAGGATTCGTCTTTGTCGCTGGTATGCTCAACGGTGCTTACAGTGTTGGCACCCCTGACTGCTCGTCTCACTTGGCTGAGGAAATCCCCAAGTCAGTGTTCTTCTTTCTCATTCCCTCTATTATCGCTAACTTGAATTCAGGCCGAGTCGAAATATCCCGAAGGCTATCCTGGCCCAGATGGGTGTCGGTTTCGTCACTGGTATCTGCTATATGATTGCAATCTTCTATTCCATCAACGACCTCGACCAGGTGCGCGACGCGACCACCTTCTTCCCCCTGGCTGAGATCTACCGCCAAGCCACCGGCTCCCGTGGCGGCGCTCTGGGTCTTCTGATCGTCGCTTACCTGCCTACCTTTATCACTGCCTGTGGCTGTTACATCACCGCCGGCCGTACGCTCTGGACTATTGCTCGTGATGGCGCCACTCCATTCTCGGGATGGGTTGGACGCATCAGCCCCACGTTCAAGAACCCCTTCAACGCCACCCTGATCTGCACCGGCCTCGTCACCATCCTGGCGTGCATCTACCTCGGCTCGACTACCGCCTTCAGCGCCTTCGTGGGATGCTTCGTGCAGTTGTCCAGTCTTTCGTACTTCATGGCCATTTTCCCTCACATCTTGACCCGCCGTTCTTCCTTCGTTCCTGGATACTTCCACATGAATGACACAATTGGCTACATCGTCAACTCCCTGGCCTGTGTCTACATCATCGCCTTCGCTATTATCTTCTGCTTCCCTTACGCTCTGCCTACTGATGCCGCGTCGATGAACTATGCCAGTCTGATGACTGGTGGTCTGTCTATTTTCGTTACCGTCTGGTGGTTCGTCCACCAGGGCTCCTACGAGGGCCCGAAGCATGTCCCGTTGACCGACAAGGCCCTGGCCGACGATGCTCGGTAAATCTTGGTGGGATGTTTGGGGGACTATTTTGCGTATACCACTTTTATTTTGCAAGGCACAGCTTTTTTCTGCTGCACAGCTATAAAATGCTCTTTTTAGATGATGCGACTTAACGTTATATCCGCCTTATGTACATTTCTATTCGTGTTAGACTTTTTTCGACTCTATACATAGCTACTGTAAAAGCATAATTTATATTCACCGTCCAAACACATTTTTTGAAGATGCAAACTTTCTTATCAGCACAAATAGCTAGAATCTAAACCAAGTCGAGTTTTCCATTCTAAATCCAGTCCTTCACACGAAAGATCATTGGCTCACGTGACCACGCGTCCCGCGCCTGTTGTCGCGTCCTCATCCCAACGCCATCTTAATCTTGGAAGGAAAAGACCAACACAGTCATGGTCTTCAAACCCTTCAAGTCCCCTTTAGTTAGGAACTCCGCTACAACTTCCACCAACACTCCCGACGAGCCCAGTCGTCCTACCAAAAAGCCCCGCCTCGAAGACGAACCATCACCTAAGGATGTGCAATCACCGATAGCCAGTCGAAAGCCACTCCTACAAGTCAACAATCGAAGATCCGACAGCACAACACAGTCATCATCCGGTGAAAAAGATGATACATCCGACGAAAGATATTTCAATGTTCTCTGGTAGGTCCTCGGAACGTTGATCCCTGGTGAGCACCAGTTACATCGAACCAGCTAACCCAGACAGGCGCAAACCAAGCGCCAAAAAGCACAAAACATGGGACGGAGATGGAATCCTCTCCACCCGCGGGGAGTTTGTGTATCTACGAGACATTGCCGGGAAGGAGATGGGACGGAAGGTGCACGAAGCCCGCCTCGAACCGGGAACAACACTGTCTATTTCCGGCAAAGAGGTTGAGATAGACTCCGAGATTTCGCGCAAGGAATACCTCTCCGGCAGAGTGTTCCTGGAAGCCACGAAGTCAGCACCTACCTCTACGCCGGACCCTGTGCCCACACCCAAGAAAGAAGCCCTCCCCGCCCGAAAGAAGGGTGAAGTACGCAAACCTACGGCTGCTGAGCGGACACAGTCCCTCAAGCGCTCGCTAGCTCTCGTTACAAACCCCAATGCGAACCCTGGAACTGCACCGGCGAAATTTGCGGCTTATAAGGCACCGCTGCTTGTGAACACGGTTACCCCCAAGGTTATGGGGAAGGTCGTTCCGCGTCATGACCCCAAGGCGGTTGGTGCGTTAGTTATGCCGCGGCCGAAGTCTGTGCCGAAGGGGAGGCAGGTTGTGGATGTTGTTGTTGATCCTCTCTTGACCAAGAACTTGCGACCGCATCAGCGTGAGGGTGTGAAGTTCTTGTATGAGTGTGTGATGGGCATGCGGTCGTTTAATGGTGAAGGTGCCATTCTCGCAGATGACATGGGCTTGGGAAAGACTTTGCAAACTATTGCGCTGCTTTGGACTCTGCTCAAGCAGAATCCTGTCTTTGAAGCCCCGCCTGTTATTAAGAAGGCATTGATTGTGTGTCCTGTCACTCTTATCAATAACTGGCGAAAGGAGTTCCGCAAGTGGCTCGGCAATGAGCGCATCGGAGTTTTTGTCTTTGACGACAAGAGTAAGCGTCTTACTGATTTCACCAAGGGCCGGGCTTATAGTATCATGATTGTTGGATATGAGAAACTCAGAACGGTCCAGGAAGCTTTGGCGAATGGTTCTGGTGTCGATATTATCATCGCGGACGAAGGCCACAGGCTCAAGACCTTGCAGAACAAAAGTGGTCTAGCGATCCAATCGCTCAGCGCCGTGAAGAGAGTGATTCTCTCCGGCACGCCAATCCAAAATGATCTGAGAGAGTTCTTTGCAGCCGTGGACCTTGTTAATCCAGGGATCCTGGGGACTTTCAAGTCCTTCATTCGAGAGTTCGAGACCCCAATCGTTCGCAGCAGACAGCCCGAAGCAACGCGAAAGGAAATCGAGAAGGGAGAGTCCAGAGGCGAAGAGCTGCGAGAACTCACCTCCAAATTCATGCTCCGCCGAACAGCAGACATCCTGGCCAAATACCTTCCCCCAAAGACCGAATACGTTCTCTTCTGCAAACCAACCCGCCCTCAGGCCAACATCTACAAAGCCGTCCTCGCCTCCCCCATTTTCCAAACCGCAATGGGCAACGCTGAAAGTGCCCTGCAGCTAATAACAATCCTCAAAAAGCTCAGCAACAGCCCTTCCCTCCTAACCGCGAAAAACAACAACAACACGCCCAACGAAACAATGACCGCCCTCATCGCCTCCATTCCCCAACCTCTCCATCGCCACTTATCCCCCTCCTCGAGCGCAAAAATCCGCGTCCTTGACCAACTCCTCGACACAATGCGCAACAAAACAGACGAGAAAATCGTGCTCGTCTCAAACTACACCTCAACCCTCTCCCTCCTCGCAACCCTCCTCACCTCCCTAGGTCTCCCCTACCTCCGCCTCGACGGCAGCACACCCGCCCAGAAACGGCAGGGCCTAGTAGACGACTTTAACCGTCTCCCCGCAAGCTCCTGCTTCGCCTTCCTGCTATCTGCGAAAGCAGGCGGGACAGGTCTCAACCTGATCGGCGCGAGCCGTCTTATCCTCTTCGATGTAGACTGGAACCCGGCAACGGATATCCAGGCTATGGCACGTATTCACCGCGACGGCCAGAAACGACCTTGTCGCATCTACCGTGTTCTACTCAAGGGCAGTCTCGAAGAGAAGATCTGGCAGAGACAGGTTACCAAGCTTGGTCTTGCGGATAGTGTCATGCAGGAGAGGAGCACCAGTAATAGTGGTGCGCAGTTCTCAGCTGCTGAACTCAGGGATTTGTTCAGGCTCGACGAGGACAGGGCTTGTCAGACGCACGAGTTGTTGGGTTGTCGGTGTGGTGGACGGGGTGTTCCGGCTGACGTTGAGGCTTCTTCGTCTGGGGCTGCGACACCTGCTACTGTTGATGCTGGGTCTGAGGTTGAGGACTTGTCGGATCCTCCTTCTGACTTTGATGATGATGATGATGATTATGATTCGGATGAGTCGCTGCCGAAACCTCATACTCTTGTTAAAGCTTCTGAGGTCGATATGGAGAAACAAGAAAAGTCTATCCGGGACGGCACTCATCGTGCCAAGATAGCTAGGAAGGGAAAGAAAAGTACGAAAGACAAAGAAAGCGAGACTAAGAGTCCCAAAGATAAGATGCACCAGTCTTTGGCTCAGTACTCGCACATTGACCCGTCTCTGCTTGCAGCTGAGTCCGATTCTAATGAGGCTGGGGCTGAGGATGAGGAGCTTGAAGCTGCCATTGATGATGATGTGTTGGTTTCTATGCTGAAGGATGAGTGTAATTTGATTGGGTATGTTTTCAAGAAGACCAATGGCGCGGAAATGAGGAGTTAGACTACTGTCTCGCAGTTCAGGAATGGCCTTTAGGATGATGTATTATGATACATGTTCATTATTTGGACTATAGTATATATACAAGACAAGAGTAGAATGACATATATAAAAGCACCTCAAACTTGAGACGCAGAGATAAATGTGAAGTAACAACATAAAGGGCTCAATATCGAGGACATGACATGTCACTGTAAAATAGAAGGCGAAGAAAGATGAGAGACGATTGCATTATTCCACGGCCGGGATATCATTCAACTGCGGTCTAAATGTACAAAAGAAAAAGAGCTAATAATGACTGAAGAAAGGCAAAAATATAAAGAAGAAAAGAAGAAAAGGAAAAGCAAAAAGAGAGAAAAAAGCCAACAATACACCCCCATACCTCATGTCCATAGCTCGTTCATAAACCCAACATCAAACTCATCACATCACTCATCAATACCTGAGCTTGCCAACAAGCCCAAAGGTATAAGCTGCCTCAGCCTCACTCTTCATTTGAATCATAAATATCTTGCCAGAGCCAGTAGCAACACCACCCTGCTTCGCGATGGAAGCGTCTTCATCCTCCTCGCGGATGGATACCGCAATGCCCGTGCGGGCAATGCGCTCAAAGGCGCTCTCGCCCAGACAAACGTCGAGGAGAGTCTCGCCGTGTGTCTTGCCGCGGATGACAATGCGCTTCTCAGTCGAGAGGGCACCGCGCGGGGAAGCGGACCCTGATGCGGGAGGCGAAATGCCACTTGCGTTGTCACCCTGCGGTGAGCTGCCGTCACCGCTGAGACCACTACCGGGGCGGGATGGGTTCTTGGGTGGTGCGGGCATGATGGTCAGGCGGGCAGCGCCCATGTCGCTCCACTTGGAGGCAGATTCGCGTGCGTACAGGCGGACCTTGGCGTTTGAGAGACCGATGCCATCAGCGCCTTTGACTGCTGCGGCGATGCGACCTAAGCCCGAGTTGGGGGATGGGTCGTTGCCGGAATCACCGGAGCCGGAGTAGATGCTGCCTTCGCGGCCAGTGCGGGACTCGATGGTTGAGCGGGCAATGTTGAACATTTTGCTGCCGTTTCCGAATCGTTTGAGCGCGGAAAATGCGCTGCTCATGGTTCCCACGCTACTTTCGGATCCTTCGGCTAGAGAGCGCGGGGAGCTCGATGCGCGATAGCTTTTTCTGCGGCGGGGCCAGCCAAACAGGCCTCCGCCGGCTTTTGGGGCAGGTTCGAAGGTAGAGGCACGGCTGTTGAATGGACCGCGAGCGTTTTGAAGCGCGATGTAAGTTGGGTTGTTGATTCTTGATTGGTTGATTAGACCATATAGGGCGTCGCATTCGTCAGGGTTGCATGACCGGAACATGATGTTGTTGCTGGATGTGATCTGGGATCGCTCGGTGGGAGGAGAACGAATACTAATGTCGATGGCGGTGCCACGGCGAATAGGAACGAGCGGTGTCAGTTCAAGAGAGATGAGCGGCCTTGGTGATGAGGAATCGTCAGGTTCAGAGTCCACCGCGAAGGCCTCGATCAGGCCAGGGCTAACGACGATGGTACATTCGTCAGGGAACAAAAGCTCCCAGTTGCCTTTGTCAGACCACGCGAAGACACACGCTATGGCTTTGCTGGTCTTGGTGGGCTGTAGCGGCACAGTGCGGTAGCCACCCTGCGACACAGAATTAGAAGGCGAGAGAGAACTGGCATCAGTAATCGAGTCGTGTGCTCTTGGCTTGGGAGTAGCATATTCTTCGTCTTCAGATACCGAGGAGTAATCATCCTCTGAGTCAGAAAAGCCATTGGATCTTGAGTACTCGGATGATGAGTAGGAATAGTGGCGCACTGTTGACGCGTCCGAGTCGGTCTCTGAGTAGTCTGAAGCTGTAGAGGGTTCATATTCGTGCTTCAGGGGAGAAGAGCCACGTCGCTTGAGTCCACCACTAGTGGGGGTGAGAACTGGGGGGGTTGCGCGCTTGCCATGGGCAGGGCTAGGCGAGCGATGAGGTGGGGGAGGTGGAGGGCTATCATCATCCTTTGGCCGTCTTCGCGACTTCCTTCTCCTAGTCCTTGTTGGTGTCTCCATAATTTCTTGCTTGGGCAAGAATTCGAGGGGAGGATAGTCTTCCTCATCTTCGGGGTCCATGCGTGTCGGAGTGGAAAGATGAGGTTGGCTGCTAGGAGTTCGGATTTTGGGAATCAGTGGGAGATTTACCGAAGGCACAGATGAAACCCTAGGAGATTCAGGGGAGGGTTCCCTGACAGGGGTCTTCTGGGGTTGAGGAATCCTCGAACGCGATTTTTCTCTCGGTGATCCTCTAGCTGAAGATTCCTCCGTTTCGCCATAGAATCTACCTCCTGTTGGTGTACTTGGAGTTTGAGGAGCGGCAACCGCAGGTGCGCTGTGTTCGGGTGCTTTATCAGATACAGTGTGCTGAGAGGCAGTATCGGAAGCCGGGCTGTCACTGTGGCGAGAAAATCTCTTTGCCTTGGATCGTTTGAGTCCAGCGAGAGTCCTTTCCTGACTAGTTAGCGAGCTCCTGGGAGCTGTGGAAGGAAGAAGAGGTAAGTCAGGGCGGGCTGGCTTAGACAGCTCGGATCCCCCAGTGGTGTAATCAGTCCCCCGAGTGACGATTGAGGACAAAGAGCTCCTGGCATCGGTAACAGAGCTGATCGTACTTGGCTCAGACGAGTGGTCTTTTGAAGTCCACGAGCGTCGTTTACCGCTCGCCTTCTCGCCGATGGGGATGTCAATATCATTCGACCTGGGCGGAGAATCAACAGCAGAGGGCTTGCGAGCCTTGTTCTGCTTGGCTCGGCTGATGAAGCTTTGGCTTCGACAAATTGACGGCGGAATAGGGTCAGATCCGAGTAATGAGACCCATTCAGACCCAACTTCTTCTTCGTCAATGCGAAGCGAGATTAATTCTTGCCAGTACTTGGTTGCATCTTCGGGGGCGCTGCGCAGCATGAGCACGATCTCATGTTTCGAGTCTCCTTTGCGAGCTGAAACACATCTTAGGTCCATAGGGGGGAAGAGAAGCCAGCGATCTGAATGATCGATTTCGCAAATCAAGAGATCGCCTCCAGGCCCTTTGCTCGCCGGGTTGTCTCGATATAAAAGCTCGGCTCGACAATCCACAAGTTGACCACTTGAATGATACAAAGATAGATTGAAGAAATCGCGAGCACGGACATGGCGAGTCTGGTCAATGCCGATCCCGCGGAGGACACCCAAGGTCATTGGGTCTCTTGTGCGTGTTGGGTCGATACAAGCAGCAGAGTCATCTTCCAGCCTCGCTCTTTCATCTCGGACGCGTTTTCGGGCATCGTCAACAAGAATTTGATAGGCGGTAGCCGTTTCTTCAGCCTTTGGGGACGGCTCCAGAATATTGATACCCTTGAAACTCTTCGCTAGATACTTGAGACGCACTAACGGCCGCTTCAGTAGATAGGCCACATCGACCTTTTCCCCATCGCTGTCTACAAAGTCGCCATTTTCGTCTCGCTCCAAGCCCTCATCCAGGCTCTTCGTGTCAGCATCGTTTGTAGCTTCGTCTTCTTCCCGAGGAGCCAGATTTACAATGACATCCTTGAATCCGAGACGCCACGCCTTCAAGTACTCGCGGTAGACTCTCTGGGCACCTTGCGCCCATGTAAGCAATGCATCCGCGTTGTCCTGCGGGATTCGCTTGTGGAGGTTCTTGAGGCGCTCGATCGCCACTCCCATGTTAACAATTGGCTTCGAGAAGTTCACGTCATCTTGAGGGTCCAGAGACGGCCGAAACAGGCCTGCGGCAATGGCTGAATCAGAGCGGGACAGCACGCAAGTTAAGAGGACCGGAATCACACCCCCGACCAGTGTTTTTAGCTCGCGCATATACTTCGTCTCGTCACCTGAAAGTTCATAGAGCAGATCCTCAACTGTCGCGTGGGCCAGGCGACTTTTGTTAGTACGAATACTCCGATTCGACCGGATGCTTCTGCTCCGCGAGGCCGAGACGGATAATACCGACATGAGGTCATTGTGAGTGGTAAGCCGTCTTTTTAGTTGCGAGGATACCACGGGTAGCGAGTCGGGATCGAACTGGTCATCCTTTTCTGCTTCTTCTGCTTTTTCTGCTTCCTCGGCAAGTTTCGATTCAAGTTTCGATTCAGGTTTTGATTCGGGTGTCGATTCAAGCTTTGATTCAAGCTTCGATTCAAGCTTCGATTCAAGTTTCGGTTCAGGTCTCGGTTCGAGTTTCGGTTCGAGTTTTATTTCGAGTTTTTCGATGGGGGCAGACTTCGGTACGTGCTCGGTTATGTCTGTGATAGTGGTGCTCAAGGTTTCCGCAGAAGCAATCGTTGATAAACGATGATGACCGGTGGCCGGGAAGGGCTTCTTACGGCCAAGTGGTACAGGTGCGTTAAGTCCTGATACTTCAGAGCCACCATCGGAGAATGGTTGTAAATCGGACTCCGGGGTTGTGGCACTATCCTCATAAGGCTTGTCTTCGACAGAATTATCCCCTTTGCTCTTGACAGATGACTTGGAGGTCCTATCTATACTAGCTCTTTTCGATTCTGAGGCCATCTCACGATCTTGTGCCTGGTGTGTTTTGTCGATTGAAGAAAAGCTGTCCCTTCCCTTGGAGTGCTTATTTATAGCGCTCTTTGGGTAATCGGAGCTCTTACGGTGATCGAAGCTCTTCGAGTAATCAGTGCTCTTCGGATGATCGGTGCTCTTCCGGCGCTCGCTGATTGTTGACGGTTCAGACTCGGTACCAGGAGGTTGTGAGTCCCCGTCAGCAAGTTTTTGAGATCGCCTTGCTCGGCCTGACTTCAGATCCAGAGGAGCTGGCATATCATTCTTAGAAACGACTTCATCCAGAAAAGGATCCGGTGTGTCAGAAAGCCATGCCTCAATTTTGGCTCCACGACCCGTAGTCGGCGTAGGTGTAGGTCTCGGCGGTTCGGGTTCAGGAATCCCAAACATTTTTCTAGACTCGTCGAGCATGTGTGCGAATATACCACCTTTGGGAGGTTTTGCTGGGCCGCGCTTGCGTCTCCTCGACAACTCAGAGAAATCCGCCTCGCTTGCTGCCCACGCATCCTCTGGAGGAGGCGAGCGCGTCTTGAATCTGTCCGAGAGCTCCGAAGGTTCCACGGATCTAGGATGGTCTGTCTCATAGTCGCTCTCCGTGATGGTGTCGATGCTCTGTCGTGCGCCCGCGGACTTGGTGTCTCGAATTAGGGATTTAGAAGGACCGCGACCCTTTTTCTCATCGTCACTATCGTCGCATTTCCCCCGTGGAGACCTAAGCTGCCCTTCATTTGTGGTGTATTCGGCTATGCGCTTAGGTGCGGGCAGATTGCGCAGATTGCGCGACGAGGACTGGGTCGAGGCTCGACTTCTCGTTCGTTTCCAATGCTCATCGCTCACCACACGTTTGCGAGGTGTGCTATGACTGCGCTTCCTTGTGGTCGGGGGTTTGTCCTTGTTCGGCTTCTCTACCTTCGCCAGCTTTTCCAGCTTCTCCAGCTTCTCGATCTTGACTTTGGCAGGCTTTGGTTTCGGCTTCGCATCATTTTCCCCATCATCGGCATAGGGGTCGTCGACTGTAACGACCCCGCCGCCTTGTTGCTGCCATTTTCGCACTCTAGAGCGCACCGTGTTCGTGTCGTGCACCCCTAGCGGCTCTCCGATGTCCAGCGGTTTGGTGGATTTCGCAGTTCCTCCATGATTGGAGGGACGTTGTGGCGTCGCAGGAGATGGCATCGGTACCTACACGGCAACACAGAAGCCAAGACTTAGTAGGGAGCTCTCTCGAAGTTTTGTTGTCAAAGCAGATACCCGGAAAACACGGAGTTTGTTGACTTCGACTGTCACAATAGTTGGTACTTACCAAAGCCCGCAAAGGTCTTTAGCAAATTTGGAGCATTTGCTTTTTTTGACGATCTCAGGAAAACCCTTCAAGGATCATAAACAAATGCGTCAGACCCTTTGGAGGTTGGGGCCGACAAGTTCGATAAGCCTCCCCCTCCCGCACTAAATCGGTTGCCGGGAAACCAGATCGGCGCGAACAACTTCTCATTAAAGGGAGGTTTCCCCCGTGATTTGACCTGCTGAGTCTTTATTGAAGATGATCCTGACCTCAAAATTAGAGAGAAATTTCTTCTAGGGAGATAGGGCAGCTAATATTGGTTAATAACGCCGGTTGCGCGTCGGGTGGCGCCCCTTGTACATCAGCGTCATAGGGCACTTAGTGTGGTTGGAGATATCTATTAAACCTGTTCGAGCTCGAAATATGAATAGAATCATAGGAGACAGCATCGTTTAATCATGGGTATAAGGCTATCATATGATCCTAGGTACTATACATTGACCAATTCCCCCCCCTCGAACCCTTGTATCTCCTCAATCTCAACATCAAATTCTCTGAGTACTTCGTGCCAACACAATTCTAGCCCAATGCTCCACTACGACCCGCCACTATACCAGTTATGACGAAAGAAGTCTTACCTAGTTAGTCTTGTCCTTTTCCGACTGGCGTTTAAGTGCGGCCGAGATTGTGGAGATGCTTTGGTAGAGATAGTCTATTAACAAAGTCAGCCTATAACAGACATCCCGGGGACTGTAGGGCATACACGCTGGGACGACAATCCAGATGAAGTTCATGAGGAAGTAATACAGCCAAAAATAATACGGCTCCGGTCGGGAATATGGTCGCCCATGGACATACTCGTCAAACAAACTGGTCGCATAATACAGCATGTCGCCGTACAGATGGCTCATGCACACAATTACCTGGATGGGGTGGCGCAGGGAATGGCCGGTTACGGTCAAGTATACAACAACAAAGCACAGTGGTCCCCACAGGAGCTTGGTAGGAATCAGCGGTGAATCCTAGCGTCGGCGTTGTATATAGTTGTGGGACTCACCACGGTCATTGTCTCCATACATAACACCAATGTGTCCGAAGTCATATACCGGGAATCCGACAGAGCGTATTCTTTCCATAGTTGCCCAAAGAGATCTTGGGCAGAAGCCATGTGGTTATGATGGATCATAAAATAACCCTCGAAGAAGCAGTGCAGAGTTCCAGCTATAGATCCCCATGGTCAGTGTTCAATCTCCAAGCTGATATTTATCTTGGCGCCTTACAGAGCACAAACCACAGGATGGCGATTCGATCCGCCACGCGCAGTGTGGGTTTCACATAGCTGGCCAATGCGAAAGTCACACCAAGAAGGACAGTACAGGACCCACCAGCAGAGATGAGAAGCTCCATCACCGGGGTCTGGTTGGGCTCATAACCCACAACATCGGCATTCAAGGGGTAATATGGATGAGATGGAGGACTGGGCATCTTTGCAGTACCCCAGGGGGTGTTGACCCTGATCTAGACTGTCAATATCCCAGTGTCCGAAGACACATATATAGGAAAGTATAGAAAAGTCGAATGGAAAATGAGACGTCGAGGAAGGTTTGCTTGGCTTTTTTTCGCGAAGGGGGGGATTTGAGTTTGGCCAATAACAAGCTTAATTTCACCGACAGATAAAGGCTCAATTTGAGAAGAGAAGACCATCAGAGGTCAAATTGATCGAGCAAGAATAAAGAACAAGCTTGAAATGCTTGCATCTTATGTTTGTCTTTGAGGACCATCCTGGTGTGGGTTTGTGCCTCAGGCACCATTTTCTTCATGCCTCAGGCATAAATCAAATGCCTGAGGCATGCCTGAGGCATTATATTCGCCCACCTCCAGGGCTCAAGTGTTTGGATACAGATTAAGTCAACTACCTTCCGAACTTGAAGGCCTAAAAAGTCACACAGTTCATATTAGCAGAATTAACTATACCTAGGTACTAAAGGACAGCCCTCCATTTGCAGAAATGACACTTCCAGTACACCACCCAAATTCCGGATTACAGATCGTGGCAATCAACCCAGCAATCTCCTCCGCATACGCCGCTCTTCCTCCAAACTTCCTACCCAACTCCTGCACCTCCGGGCTATCAGTATCCCGAACAGCCACCAACGGCGTGAGAGGATTCCAATGCGCAAGCCCCTCCTTGACCTCATCAGGTGCAGACATATACATATCCGTCATGACCGGACCAGGGTTGATCGAGTTGACGGTGGCTCTCTCGGCCAGTTCACGACACCACACACGTGTCATGGCCTCAATGGCGCCCTTGGTGCCCGAGTAAAGCGAAGTGTTCTCCGTCCCCGTCTTCGATGCAATACTCGATAACATCACAATACGCCCCGAGCGATCGGTAGGAAGATACTCCTTGCAGGCACCGGTAAGTAAAAGTGGCCCAAGAACATTCACTTCATAGATTCGATGGAATTCGGATTCTTTGACCGATTCCAATGGGCCGAGGTATAACACCGCGGCGTTGTGAACGATGATGTCGATTTGGAAAGATCCTGTTTCCGAGTTGGTGAAATGCTCTTTGGCGCTGGATACAATTCGTGCGCATTCCTCTCGTGAGGTAATGTCTGCTCGAATAGGCAGTGCGCGCACTGAGTATTCCTTTTGGAGTTTGGTGGCGAGTACTGCTGCGGATTCGTCAGAGCCCTCGGTCGCATAGTTGATGATCACATTGCAGCCCTTGCTGGCCAGGTTCTCGACTATAGCAGCTCCAATGCCTGGAAGATGATGAGTATTGGATGCCAAAGGAGTCTATTTCGGACTTACTACGTGCGGATCCTGTTACGAGAGCGAGTTTGCCCTCGTATATGCGAGGGAATGGGCCTTGGATACTACCCATGTTGACGGTGATATAATTGAGCAAAGATCACGGACTTGGCTCGGGACGAAGACAACCTGGACACGTCTATTTATGAAAAATGGCTCAGTATTAATGAAACTGGTCAGCCATATCATTGGCCTGCTCACAAGCTCAATATATGAAAGGTTATTTCCACCTAATACGAAGAAGTGAACAAAGTACGGAGTGCGGAGTACGATGTATTGTTACATATGAAACCGTTCTATGACCCGTTTCTCGCCCTCGCCCCACAATCTCATTTTGTAGTCACCCACATAGATTTGACTCCAATAGTCGGCAGGTATACGGAGTATATACTTTATAAAAGTCGCCTGATATGTGGATACTAGCGCATAAACTGTGCCGTGTTGTATGTGCGCTGAACCAGCTAGTCAAAAACGAAGTGCAGCTGCGGATCCACGAAATTGAAACTGGAAGGAAGATATATCCACAATTGGCTGGAAACCCTGGAGTCTAGAGCATCAATATACTGTCACGAGCAAGGCATTGAATTTCTTATTCTGCTTGTTCAAACGGTTTAAAAGCCTATTGATGTATATATTTAGATGTCAACAGAAAGAGTCAAGTAACAAAATACCAACATGTTCATATCGAGTACCTCATCATGAATCTCAACTGACAGTTGTGGGTCAAATTTAGCTTTCAACGTCTCGTATCAAAGAGATAGCATCAGGATTTGAAATTTGCGTACAACATAGGGAGGCATCCGCGTGGGCCGATACAAGGAAGCTTCCAAGGTTCCAAGGTTCCCAAGTCGGTGAACCTTGGAATACAGCAGTCTACCATAAACGTAAAGTCAACAGCATATCTTCCTTCTCTCGTCGAGAAAAGCTCAAATGTACTGGAGATTTCAAAGTCGCAAGCCACAACTCGCGGACTCAGTTCTGGCACGGAATATCTTCAATACAGCGTCCACTGGGCAATGCATCTATTGGCCATTATGAACTTGATCTGGAAATCTTGGTTTAACATATGTCTCGATCACAAATGATTTGCCCAGTTGCAGTGTGCTGCAATAGAAGCTTTGTCATTTCGTCTCTAAATCATCGTTCTGAACAGCTCCAAGTAGTATCTAGCTTATTCGTCAAGCAGTGTCGATTGATAGGTTTCAATATGGCTTATTTGTAGTTGAGCATTCTCAATGCATTTACAATCACCGCCTCGGTAAACTGCATCTCTCGGCTGTCCTCTGGAATGACATCTTGCTTCTAGGACTCTGAATGCTGATCGTGGTGTGATGGTCCAGACACGGCCGAGTAGACAAGCAGTCCGGCATCTTACGTTGCTGCAATCGGCTAAACAGGGAAACATACGGTCCAAATGATCCTCGACCTTGTTCAAGCAAAAGAACACCTGTAAGATTTGTTCCATCCAACTGAACGTATCTCGCAGTGAACCAAAGGTCTTCATCTCTAGCATTTCGGCTCGTAGTTCGAGTCATCTCGTTGCCTAATACAAGACCGCAAGATGAGACCAATAGCGTTATTCACTATCAACCATGTCATCCGACCAACAGAAAGTAAATGGAATACCTGTTATCGCCTCTTGAACTAAGCTCGCGCATCGACCTAATCATCTCTCGTGCGTTTCCATCTTGTCTAAGAGTTCCGGGAAATCATTTTGACCAAGAGAGTTCACGTTAAAATAAGAGGAGAATATAATTAGCGTCACAGGGGGTTGACCCCACCCTTAGGCAAAGAGCTGCAGGTTCATCCACACACAAGATAATATGTACAACATAGTGCATGAAAAACCAACTACCATTTGGCCAGGAATCCTCCATCAATGGGAATACAAATTCCGTTTACGTACGACGAACAGTCAGATGCAAGCCAAAGCGACCCCTGCGCTACCTCGTGGGCCTGTCCAAACCTGTTCAAGCTGCTAACCTTGGGCGCAAACTCATCGTGGGTGGTGCCCATAATCTCCAACGCTGCGGCCGACATATCACTCTGCTATTGTTAGAATCTCCCTGGATTA